ACAAACAGAATTTTAAAACAAAATATTAAAATTAATTCCAGGTCACATTATTTATATCAGATATTAAAATAGGAACACATTTTTAAATATAAAAAGCAAGTGATTTACACTTTAATTAAAATAAACAATATATTTAATTTAAACAAGGTTCACATAGCGATGCTGTACGTTAACCACAATTTAGGTATTGCTCAATAGATTTTCCACAGGATTAGCATTAGTTCCATAGACTTAACATTACCCATATGTAATATTATACATGAATTCGATGTAGAATTTAATGGTGCTCACGAATATAACAACTAAAAAATATTTTCCCTCGAGAAAGTTAGTTCCTACACCTTTTATATCTTCTGGGAAATCCCATGTTAAATCCCATAGAGCGGGGGCGGAGGGGTAGCCGAACGATCATATAAACCACATTCTTTATATGTAAATTGTGGTTAAAAATTGATCAAAAATTGTCCTATTTTAATATCTGATATAAATAATGTGACCTGGAATTAATTTTAATATTTTGTTTTAAAATTCTGTTTGCAAAGAGAGAGAGAGAGAGAGAGAGAGAGAGAGAGAGGCAAACAAACTAAATGTCAGACAAACATTGTCTCCAAAAAAAATGGGCGAATAAATTGTATTTTAATTTAGTATTTGAACCTTTAATTTAAATTCTGGCACCAAATCAGTGGTGATTTTGAATTATCTCTAAAAGACCTGTCATTCAATGAGACGAATGTTTTGTCTCTATTTATAAATACTTTATCATTGATTGTAATTATATACATGTATTATGTTTTGTTATGTTAAATAACTTTTGATATTTTCAGTTAACTAAAGTACTATTTCTCTCATTAAATTAAAATATAAATTCAAATATTAATTAAACAAACTATAAATATATAAATTATTAAATAATTAAAATTACGAGAAAATTTAAATAAAGTTATATTAAAATTTCTAAATAAATACTGTATTTTCATAGCACTATTAATTGCATAATAATTATTAAAAAATACATTTTATATAAATTTTAATTAATATACAATAATATCAGTTAATTAAACAATGAGAGTAGAAGTATGACGGTTAAAAAAAAGTTCACAAATATTTAATTAATGGATGATATCATCCGGAAATTAATCTCATTTTACAGGACTTTTCCGCTCAGATTAGTGTTTAAAACATAACAAAATATATGATATATTAATATTCAACTAATATTTATATAATAATAATAGATTTTATAGCGTTTTATTAATTTGTTAATGAAATTACAGCCATATTTAAATGACATATGATAAAAACAATTTTGTATACATTAGATACACGTATGCAAACACACCAACACTTCATACGTAAATCATCTGGAAACTTCTACAAAAGGGATTTTTCAAACATGATCATATCATAAATAAATAAACACACGCTAAATATAACGCAAAAAATGTTACAAAAATCAAAAGTTAAAGTTAAAAGTTTACTAACACTTGAATTGATAGACAATCGACAGACTATTTGCGATAAGTAAGTGAAAGGGCATGAGATAAAGAGTGCGACCAAAACTGTAAGTCTAACGTATTTCTCAACTTTTAACAAACTTAAAAATGTAAAAAAACTAGCTAAAAAAACTTGTAAACTAATCGTGATAAAAACATTTGACGTGTATTTTGCCTGTCATTCACACCTCTCTTCACCCATTAATTAGTGCCCATTTGTCTACGAAAATACATTTGATTTAAGTGTTTAACTAAATCTACCGCGATCAAAAAGTTTAACCCACATACATCTACATACCCATCCGTGCCATACATAGCAATGTTAAGGTGCAGAGCGTCTGCGTTGGGCCGGGAGGCGAACAAACGGGCCGAGTGTGGCGACCACTACCAGGCCATCGAGATCTACTCGCAGGCCATAGCGTTATATCCATTGGATTACCGTTTTTACGCGAACCGAGCGTTTTGTTACCTCAACGCCGAGCTCTACCACTTGGCTCTTACGGACACCCAGGAGGCTATCCGACTCGAGCCCCGACACCACGTGTGCTACTTATACCGGGCCCGAGCGTTGGCCGGTATGGCCGAGTATAGCCGCGCCGAACTGGCCTTCAAACAGGCGCTGCTCCTCATTAATGACACCGACGGCCACTGTTTGGACAGTCGTGTGGACAACGAGATGATTGAATTGAGATATCAAGCCTTACATGACATCGGTTTTGACAAACAGACGTCGGCAGCCGCCGCCCGACAGTACCCCTCCATACGGGCGGCCATCGATGGCCTACTCTCGGAGCGGGTGTTCAAAAGTGACATCAAGAGTGTGGGCGGCGAAGGGGACGGTTGGACGGCAGACATAGCGCTCAAGAACTCCATAAACATGTTAAACAGCCCACAAGTAGTGGCGAAACCAAATAACAAAGTGATTATCATAGATGGCGGCGACAGTGACGGCACCGGTGGCCGCAAACGTGAAGTTAAATACGCGGACAAAGCGCGCGATTGGGCCAAACAGTCGGCCGCCGATCAACAGTCTCAACAGATATCGTCACAGAAACCACAACAACAACAGCCGTCAGCACAAGACATACCGGTGATCGACAACAACAAGACTGAGTCCGGATTGGCTAAGATTGACCGAAAGCCGACCAACATCTGGGGCTATCACGGGCTGAGAGTCCGCAACATAAACAGCGCCCACAAGAAGAGCATTACGAAGAGGTTCGGCGCGTACGGAGTGGTGCGACGGGTGGAGCCGGTGGCCAAATCCAAGTCGAGTGTTTGGATCTATTACGACAACCCGGTGTCGCCCGTGGAGGCGATTGCCGGCCTCCAGAACACGTGTCACACGGATCTCAATCACTACGAGAGCGGACGTGTGGTGCCGTTGAGGATGTTCTTCGCGCCCACCGATCAGCAAACGGAGCTCCGGTTCAGTCGCCCGAAGCAACCGCTGGACCCGAAAGGCGAGTGCTATTACTGGCGCACAACCACTTGCCTGTTGGCCGACCGCTGCTCTTTCAGTCACATACCGGCCAATCGTCAGATCGACGCTCAGGTGTGGATGAAGGACAGGGACGGCAAACCTATTTAACCCTAGGGTTAGCATTAGGCGCACCCGTAACTACTTATGCAAAAAGTGGTTTCCATTATAATTAAATTAGTTTGAATTTTTTTCAGTGCTTTAATTTTAATACTAATTGTTATTCATTTTTCTCTCTCTAATTGTTTTTTCCACACAATGTTATCGACTCTTAATGTTTCTCCTATTGTATAAAACATGATAATAATTATTATAATATGGAAAATATAAGTATTGTTTATAAATTATAATTAAAATATACCGGTATTATAAATACAAGTGAAATGTACCTAAAAAATAATTTTCATTGTTTTATAACATGATATGTGATATAAATTATCTGCGAATTCAATAAAATTTGAAATGAATTTATATATTTTTCTTTTAAATTCAAATATATATCTCTTTATAGATAGAAGACAATTGTTGGCGTATTCCTGTTAATTGATTTGAATCATCATGGTTAATAGTGATTCGCATAATTATCATGTGTTTAATTTATGATAAGTTCATTGATAACAGTTAGGACACTGGAAATATTTCTATCTCTATCTATACAAGCAATGTCTGATTTTTGGACCAATTTTCTAAATAATTTTTAAGTGTAAACTCGTTATCTATATTAATCTCTGCTTGCATTAAGACTTTTGAAATCCAGTGTACGATAGATTACCAAGTTCAAAAAATAATCACATCTACCTATTCGAGACTTTGGCAAATCACTGGTTATCTCACATTTGACACATTCAGTCAAAATATTCATTTGTGATATTTATTACTCGAGTTGTTTGTATTTTTCATTGTCTATGAAATAGTTTAAAAATAAATGTAAATTTAATCGTCTTTAAGATGACAACAAGAGTACAGTTCGTATGGAAAAGTAATGAATTTTCTTACACCCTTACAGCGCCCGTACAGTACAGACAATACTCGTTATACAGTGTTTCAAAAGTTTTATTTTATTTCAAGTCATTTACTGTTAGTTTTGAATAAAAGCATTGTTTTTGATCTGATTTTTTGCAAACAATTTTCGTATTTAAATATAACTTGAATTAAACTGAAGTGAATCTGATTTGTTATACTGTATATTACATTCATTACACATCATATCTATTCACTCACTGCCCGTTCGCCGCACTTCACAACTATTTATACAAACACTTCATTTGATCCCAAAATATGTCACAAAACTTATCAATGAAGACATCAGTCGAGACCAAAGATGACGCCAATCAAGACATCAAACAACAGGTATTTGAAAAAATCACTTTTTATTAAGTTTTTAATATTTTTTGTCTCAAATTTCAGCCAAAATTATATGCGAGACACTCTTTGGATCGATTCGGTGATGACTTATTCGGACTTTTATTGACTCATCTCTCGCTGAAAGACCGCTTCCGACTGGAATCTGTGTCCAAACAGTTCCAGAGGACGGTCTTTGGGAGTGTTGTCGACATCTGTATTGACGATAATTTAATTGCAAACCATTTAAAGACTCAAATATTGGCCACAATTGCAATTAAATGTCCAAACATTCGACGCCTCGACTGTCGAAAAATGACATCTGAAGAACTGATTCCCGAAGTGATGAACGCTTTTGGAGACCATTTGCGAGACATTCACTGCACGTTAGGACCAAATGGTAACCAATGGTTGCCTACCTTTGGATCACTTGTCAATGAAATACATCTCAGGGATAGTTCTGCCAAACATTCACTCATTCATTGCCAGCGATTGTCTCGTTTACAAATCCATGCGCTATCGAATGTCTTCGACACCACTTCCGGGCAATTATTGGTCACAAACTTAAAGAGATTTGATGTCCAACTCGTGGTAGACATCGATAACCAACTGTTGGCGGCATTTGTGTTGGGAAATCAGTCCCTCAAAAGTGTTTCAATGCATACAACATGTGATTTACGCCAACTGTCGGCACAATTGTCACGATTACCAGAATTACGGGAATTAACACTCAGTTTATTTCCCATGAATGACGAGAACCTATTGGCTGAGTGTTTGCGCAAAATTGGTTTAAACTGTAAACAATTGCAACGATTGGCAGTAAAAGTGGTTTCCAATGATTTCACACTCAATGGCCAGACATTGGATGCGTTGAGATGTTATCCCCAATTAAAACGCTTACATTTCTTACACTTTGTCACATCAAACGACGCGTTGACACCATTGAGATTCTGTCGCCGTTTAACACATTTAACCCTCGAATCGCGTCGAATGAATGCGGAATTATTTAAAGATTGTGACAAACAGTGCCCACGACTACAATACCTATGCGTCCGAACCGACACAATCACCGGCGAGTGTTTTTCACACATCTCAAGACTACCGGCGCTGAAAACACTGAAAATGTTTTTCTTGAATAGTCTATCGGATAATGATTTGTGTCTACAAGAATTGCTGTCCAGAAGTACTATTGTCTGTAATCCTGTTGTCATTGCAATAAATCGGGCACTGAATCGGCTAAAGAATCGGGCAAACATTTTGGCCAAAAAGTAGACATCATTTTAATGTCTTATTATTAATATAAGTATTTTAGAGAATTTTTGTTTTGTTTATTTAATTCAATTTATAATACGTTTTTAGCACTCGATTAACACTATTATTGAAAATGATTTATATGTTTGTTAAATTTATTATTCATAATTAAAACAATGTTTTATGTAAATTGGTGGTTTTTTAATTTATCAATTTTAATCATGGTTTGATTAGCCTCAATAAGTTACATTAAAATAAATTACAATTATGATCTGTTTTACATTTCCAGTAACTTAAGGTATAGTTGACTATACTGTCAATCTATATATTATTTACCATCTTCAGTAATAAACAATTCAATAAACACTATGCGTGTGGTGTGTAAAGCCAGATCAGCGAGTTTTTAGGGATGTTTACATTGGTTACCTCTTGGTTACCAGACTCATGAAGATTTGTGTTGCATCACACGCATTTTTCAAGAAAATATAACATATATTTACTAGTATTAAAAC